GCTGGCATCCTCTCTTTTGCAATAGTGCCCCCATTTAAAAAGTTGGGAAGTGTCACTTTCCTCATCCTACCAATTGGCATGTGGGCTCATACTTTTTTGAGAGCAAATAAATCAAGAGTGGGTGGTTTTTGGGGTAGCATCCATCCATCCTGTGGGCTAGCACTAAGTAAAATTCTTGTCTCCTCGTATGTTGCGGACAAGTCACAGTTTGACGTGTAATGGATCTAAATCTCTCGTTTATGTGATTGGAATGATTTGGTTTTACAAACGACTGTGATTTGCAGATAAAAAATTGATATTTCAACATAAAACCTCTCTCTAATATGATACTCTCAAACCAGAGGCCCACACCAACCTCGTGTAAATCCTAGATCCTCGTATGGGAGAGAGGTCAAATACGATCCTCAACACATCAGGTTTGGCTCCTCCCCCAAGAGGATCTCATATATATCTCAAAGTATGAGCATTTGCCAGTTTGTTTTTCTGGTGGTTTCTGATTAGACAAAGGGAGAGACAGATAATTGAAATATAACAACCGACAAACAAAGTGTTCCTCTCAATTCAAGTGTCTTCATGTACACATGTTTTCTTCTCATATGTTTCCTTTTGGTTTTGTCCCCTTATCTTTACGAACTTTGCTTGCCGTTCAAGTTTTGTCTGGAAGATTTATATATGACTGGTTCACTGTCCCGTAGCATTTCAGTTCAATAATGCATAGCTATGCATAAGTTTTTTCATGTGGCAATGCATTATTGGACCGGATGGCACATAGATGGTGAACTGGTTCCATGTAAGTTGTTCTTGTGAGTTGGAATGTCGAGTTTAAAACACAGAAAACAGATATAATTGTGAATTTAGATTAGAAATAGTTAAGTCGATTAGAAAAACGTAACAAAAAAACAGATAAAATATGAATTAAGGTTAGAGAATCCCGTCAGAATCATCACTTGGGTACTAAGCAATATGAAAAACAAAACCAAGGGCTGTCATACTAGTAGAGTACGTAAAATTTGGATACTAGTTTACTTTACTTTTACGTTAAAACAAAAATTTGTGTGTGTATAATAAAGAGGAAGGGAAGGCTAATTTGTGGATTAGTCGAATACAAATTGCTTATGTTCCATAAGATTCCATCCACTGATTAGCCGGCAAACTTTGTGTCATCTCCGCCCATCGATTTAGACGGATTATCTACGTAGTTTGTATTTCTGAGGTCGTCCATCTGACTTCTTGCGTTGCATTTTCAGCCGGCAGCAACCGTATTAAACGAGGATACCATACCAAATTATTATTTTTTGCTGTTGTTGGATACAAAAAATATTAGTTGGGGGTTAGGCTTTGCCTTGCTTAGAAAGGTCTTTCGGCAGAAGATATTCTACATTAACATTCCACACTGCACGTTCTGGATCGATTCTTGGCGTCAGAGGAGGATGAAATGGCTCTGTGAGTCGTCCCAACCTCCGAAATGATAGGCTGTCATGGCAAAGTCACAAGCTGATTCCTTTTTAGAAAAACAATAAAAAGGTGAACCAAATTCGATTAGATTTGATTAGATTGAACTTAATTTGGTTAATTGGTTTATTGACCAAAAAAAAGGTTGGTTGAATATATATATTTTTTAGTACATTGATATTTTTGCATTAAGAGGAGGGGAAGTTCGGCAAAGCCACATAATGGGCAACCTAATTTAGTATCGAATTTGCCATCCACGAAATTCGAACCTAAAACCTCTTACTTTCAAGTGAAGAGAAATACCACATATCGTAATATTGAGTGGCAAAAAAAAAAGTTGGTTGATTATTTTGGCTAAATTGTATTGAATTTAAATACTCTTTCCACTAAAGTCCAACCTTATCCATTCATTTTTCGGATAAAATTTTCCATTAATTTTTTGGGATAAACTTTCAGTGCAAGTGTAGAACTATCACTTGGTATTCCATTTTTTTTTAAATTTATTTTATTTTAAACAAGCAATATTATCTACATTAAAACGGAAGAAGTGTCCTAAGTCTCATAATGAGCTAGCAATAATGTGGTTCAAATTCGCCTTTGATGAGAATTGAACTTAAGATTTCTCACTTACAAGTGAGGAGGAATACCACTAGACCGTAGTACTAAGTGGCAATTTGGTATTCCAATTAAAATGCGTAAACAATATTTTGTAGTTTTTTTATTTATTTGAACAAGTGATATTATCCAGTAGGCTAAGCCTCATAATGGACGAAACAATAATATGAGATTCAAATTCAAAACCTCTCACTTACAAATGAAGAAGATGAATATCACTGACCGTACTACTAGGTGACAACAGTATTTTATAGTTAATACTATGATTTTAATAATAAAATAGAATAAAATTATAACATGTTTGGTACAGTTAAACTTACTTTTTATATTTTAGGGTTTGTATTTTTTTTCTTCAAGATTTCTAAAATAAAAGAAAAGGAAATTGAGAGATGTGTTGTAAGTCTAATTTACTGAACAATATAAAGGAGAGTGAGAGAGGAGTGCATCACAGAGAGATGAGAGAGATGAGCATTTGTGAGATGTGTGTTATGCTACGCTATGTCTTTATTTATAGTAATTTTGTTTTTTCCAAAAGAAAGAAATTTTATTATATTTGAATGTAAATGTTTACATTTAAAGCCAAAGTATTAAATAGCGATTCTAGCTCAAGACCATCCCAATTATAAAAGCCCCATTCTCGCGTAACAAAAGAAGCCACTGGATGTGCTGCCTTGTTGCAAACACGATGAGCAAAGATAACTTCTACTGACCTTAACTGTTGTTTCAACCATTGAACATCAAAGATGATGCCTTCAATCACAATATCAAGTTAAGTTTTCTCATTAAGCATATCCACTAGACATTTGGAGTTCGACTCTATCTAAACCACCTCAAAGCCCTTATCAATACAAGCCAACACTGCCGCTTGTATCGCTTCAGCCCTCACCATTAAACTAGATTCATATGGCAATTCTCCACTGTCGTCTGCCCCCTGAAAGATACCCGCATAATGTCTTGCCACCTATCCATATCCACCATGACTCGATGCCGTGAACCAAGCTCCATCAACATTTACTTTGGATACCTGCATAATGTCTTGCCACCTATCCATATCCACCATGACTCGATGCCGTGATCCAAGCTCCATCAACATTTACTTTGATTGTACGAAATGATGGGCGTACCCAACTTTTAGGAAGAAGATCACTAACCTAGGCAATCTCTTTATTTATAATAATATGGAGGGCAAATTCTTTACCCAACATGATTACAACTGTAATAGTATAATATTAATCTAAGACATATGGTCGAATCCCAATAAATATTATAGATATATTAGAATTTACACAATCGCATTCCTAATCTAATAAAAATTACAATAAGATGCATATTATATAAGAGAAAATTATTTTTGACTTGGATGATGTTATGGTTGACACTCGCCTTCAACCATTTTGAGGGGTTATTTTTTCAACGCCCTTGGTAGTGCTCGAAATTTAAGATTTGCGTTCACACTATTAAATAAATCTCCTCATCGCACACATCAATCATCCCACTTCGCCACGTGTACACTATAAAATAATTTCACAGTTGAAAAGTCTAGATGTATAATAATATATTTATGGAAAATATGGAAAAAAAGGCTGACCAAATCCTCTTTTCACAATTTTCAACTCTGGATTTGAACTTTAAAATTTTAAATTCAAAAAATTTAGATTTTAACTTAGAAAAAAATTTCTTTTTTTTAACAATTTTGAATTAAATTTGAGTATGAAATTATTAAAGAATGAATTTTAGGAATAATTTTTTTTTTCATAAAATATTAAAAATATATATATATATATATATATAATATCCTAATTAATTCTATGAATATTTTAACTTAGCAATTAAGAATTTGAGAGACCTTAATAGATTTATAAATCCATGGATTTTTATGGAGTTTAATTGATTTGTAGAGATTCCATATAAAATTCTGATTCAATTCTCTCAAAATCCCATGGGGAGATGTAAGATTTGTGGATGCTTAAAATACACTACGAAATCTCTCTAATTCCCTCTAATTCTTCAACTTTCTCAAATTGTTTAAAATCAATTTCTAATTGAATACACTTAGAATGTTATAAACTTCTTTAAAATTCTAATTGAATACACCTGAATTTCTAAGAATTTTAATAAACTATCTTAAAATTCTAATTAAATACACTTTGAATTTTAGAGAATTACTTAAAATCTTGATTGAATACCTCTAGATTCATTAAAAAAATTAAAATCCCTCAAAATCTCAATTGAATACACCCCCTTAAAAATATTTTGATTCCTAAATATTGAAAAAAACACTAAACCGACATTATGAAACTTATGGAACATTATGAAAGAATATGAAACACATAAATGATTTTTTTTAATTACTTTTGCCGTTGGATTTAAATTTGGATTGTTATATCTTTGTTTTATTGTTGGATTTAATCATATTAAATATTTACCGGTTGGATTCTATGAAATTATAAATATAAAACTAAAATAATATAGCCTAAATTTGCCGGTTGGATTCTTTTAACTCACGGAGAATTCTAGCCTAAATTTGCACTAAAATTGAGTTTTGGGTTAAAACTCATGTTTACCTCAAGATTGGAGCAAATTGGAGTAAGTTTAGAACTTAGAATTTGAGTTTTATTCCAAAAAAAATATAATAAAATCACGTTTTCCAATTCACAGATTTACAATTTGTTGCGGAACAATTTCGAATAATTAATTAGAAAATCCCACCAAATAATGTTTCTTTTTATAGTCCAACCTTTTGGGACCGAAAAAACTCATAGAAATCCTTAATTATTATTGTGTGATTCCCAAACGTATCGTGTGAAATACGAGTTTGAAAATTTCCACTCACAATTGCCACCCGGGTAGTTAATCCCTCTACATGATGAAGAGCATAATAATGATGCCCCAAAAACGAAAAAGAAAAATTTTCCCACTCACCAAACAACAAATAAGAAAGAGTACAAAATAACAGAGAAATAAAAAGAATAAATATTCCTAGTTGCTCTGGCCACTCGATTCTTCTTCAAAATTCCCAAATCCTCCATTCCAAATCCAACTTCTTATCCCATCGTATTCTGCTTCGTCGTGGAGTTTGAATCAATTGGGATATGTCGATAAGGAGTATAATCCAGGACATGAAGTTCTCGCGGTCGCAGCGGGTGGTGCAGGACTCGGCTGCTCGGTCGGGCGGCCAGGCGGTGGGGGAGTCGTTGAAGCAGAGCTGCTGGGCTCAGATGCCTCAGGAGTTACTCAGAGAGGTTCTGGTCAGAATCGAGGCTTCCGAGGCCGCCTGGCCGCCGCGCAAGAGCGTCGTCGCCTGCGCCGGTGTCTGCCGGAGTTGGAGACACCTCACCAAGGAGATCGTCAAGGCTCCTGAACTCTCTGGAAAGTTGACCTTCCCCATCTCCGTCAAGCAGGTCTCTCTCTTTCTCTAGAAAAAAAGGAAAATTTTTTGATTGAGTTCTTTTTCTTCTCTAATTGTTTGAGTTTATGTCCAAAATTTACATTTGTTTGCATTTCTCATGGATTCTGGATGTATTACAATTGGGTTTCAGTGGAAATTGCATTGCTTGATTTGTTTGTGATGCTTCTGGAGTGTGACTGGAGTGAACTTTTTAGCATAATTCTTGGCCTTCCAGGCAAGTTTAGCCAAATCTTCAATCTTTGTAAAGTTTTTTGGAATTGGAAAGCAATTTTTCTTAACGGTTGTAGTGGCTAAAATTGCAAAATTTCAGTCTTTAGTAACCATGTAGTGTAAATTGGTTTAACAAGCGAGGGGAAGAGCCTAAGATCACGTGAATCACGTTCTGAATTCTTATTATGTTCGATTTTCGGGTTGGAAAATCTTTGGTTTACCAAAATTTTGATTCAGTGTTCTCCTACCTTTGAAATGGTCGTTGTACATATTTTCAATATGTGTTTTATCTGATTGCAGCCTGGTCCAAGGGATGATCTCGTGCAGTGCTTTATCAAACGGAACCGTTCCAACCAAACATATTATCTTTTTCTTGGTTTGACCCCTGGTGAGCATTTTTTAACCGAGAAGGGAAGTAATATTGTTTTGAGTTCATTTTGAATGACAGGTAAACTTTTCTTGTTTGTTTTTCGAAGATATGGGTTTTCCATATTTGCTCTAGTTTTTTTTTCAGTTAGGTCATGTAGGTATTGATTTCTCTCTTAAGAAATCGCTTTTGCTTTCTGTAAATAGTGGACCTGTCCTCTTTCGGTTTCATTTTTGAGCTATAAGTTTGTGTTAACTTTTCTTGTTTGTCTGGTGTCAATGGCAGCTCTAATTGACGAAGGCAAGTTCCTACTTGCTGCGCGCAAGTTTAAACGCCCCACCTGCACTGATTATGTTATCTCACTGTGTGCTGATGAAATGTCAAAGGGGAGCAGCAACTATGTTGGGAAACTGAGGTGTGCCGAAAGATGCATATGATGTAACCTGTTTTCTTGTTCACCATGAGCTTAAGTATTAACACACTTTTCCCCCTCTCTTTGTGAAGATCAAACTTCTTGGGAACAAAGTTTACAATCTTTGATGGGCAGCCGAGTCATTCGGGAGCCAGGATTGCAAAAAGTCGCTCCACCTAGGCTTGTCAATTTGAAACAAGTTTCCCCTAGAGTCCCTGCTGGCAACTATCCGGTGGCTCAAATTCAATATGAACTAAATATGTTGGGTTCCAGGTAAACCTTATGCTTGTAGGACAAGTTATAGAACCGTACTTTAGAAGTGAAATTATTAGAGTACATCTAGTATTCCATCGGCATAGGTGATGCTTTCATTCTTTTCTCTTATTCTCCGCAATCCTCACAACGAACATTGTGAGCTGTGATCATAATTTGTTCAGTACACTTAGGTAAGGGTGCATTTTCATTTTAATACTGAGAAATTAGAAAGCTCACAGAGTTCTTGCAAGCAGGGGTCCGAGGAGAATGCAGTGTACCATGGATTCAATTCCATCCTCTTCAATTGAGCCTGGAGGAGTAGCCCCCACACAGGCAGAGTTTTCACATAGCAATGCAGAATTATTTCCATCCCTCTCATTTAATCGATCGAAATCAAACCGTATGGAGAGTTTCCTGTCAGGGCCTTTGGCCAGACAGAAAGATGGGGTGCTGGTGTTAAGAAACAAGTCTCCTCGGTGGCACGAGCAACTCCAGTGTTGGTGTTTGAACTTTCATGGACGAGTAACAGTTGCTTCAGTGAAGAACTTTCAGTTGGTGGCTTCTCCGGAAAATGGACCCCCTGGGCCAGAACACGAGAAGATCATCCTCCAATTTGGAAAAGTGGGCAAGGATCAATTTACCATGGATTACCGGTATCCAATATCAGCGTTCCAGGCATTTTCAATCTGCCTCAGCAGCTTTGACACCAAGATTGCCTGTGAATAAAGGTATAGATTTAGTAATTTAAATGATGAATCTTTCAGAGTCTGGTAATTAGTTTTGAACCTAAGTTAACCAACTATTATATACTTGAACACAACTCTTTCACCCCGAGCGCCCGTAACACTTCCAGAATTCATACGGTTGTTTGTGCTTTGTTTGTAATGTTGATGGAGTCGGTTGCTCTTTAGGTGCCAATATCTGCTAAACGAGTATGATTGACCCTATCTTTTTCTCGTATTCTAGTAGCAGCTAGGTTTAAAGGTAACTTAGTGGGTTGAGTTCAATGAGGCCGTTCACTGAAGGTGTTCGTAGTGCTGGGATTGGCAGGCATACAGCGTGCTCAGACGCTCCAGACCTTCTTGTATCATGATTTTGCCAAACCCCGGAGTTCTGGAATATAAAGGTGGAGAGCCTTGGTTCTTGATCACTCCACCATGTGCTGTAAATTTAACGTTTTGAATGTATATATTAGCTATTTTAACAAAACCCTGTTTTCCCGAAATTTGATCACATTTAATTTTATATGTATATTTTGTTTCGTCCAAGTAGGCTGTTCGATCCCCCGTTGCATTCAGAATTCTTATAACGAGTTGCTTTGCAAAGCTGCATCCATGGACGGTGGCTCTTCTGGCACTGTTCCAAACCTCGCCCGTTATGTCCTTTTGACAAGGAAGAGAAGAAGAAAAATTACAAACTTCAAAATTTCAACATGGTATCAGCCTTGGTTACAGGCCCGTGCAAGCCGAACTGCTTGTCATCAGGAAGTGTGGACTTGGAAACAAGCCTGGACTCTTAACATGGAGTCAGGCATTTGAGTTCTTAAGAAGCACCTCTTGAAGGGATTGGAAACAAGTTTGTACTCCATTGAAACTAACCTCTGATTTTCAATTGCCAATGTGTGGATCTCCATGTGAGTCACTAAATGGGGTTCCATATGTGGAGGCGTGTTAGCTATCCCACATCGGTGGGTTCAAAGAAAAATAATGAATTTAAATAGGATTACTCCACTCTAACTAATACCGAGACCTTTTGTCATAAAAATCACACATAAGACGGATTGGGTAGATGATAATTACCAAGTTGGGAGTAGTATCAGTGTCGTTAGAGTGGGTCCCTTGAACCCGTCGATAAAAAAATTCCAACAAACTTCATCGTCTTCTGTTTCTTATCAAGAATCTACGCGTATTTCGACTGTGGTACTGATTGAACAGGTCTTTTGAGTTGTATGCTGCCCTTATTTTGCTAGTTTTCAGAACAGGGCTCTCTGAGTTGGTCAAACTCTGGAATTTGCAAAGTTTGTTTGCATGCCATTTGGTACAGAGGTCGATACCAAACCTTGGCTCTTTGGTGTGCATTCTGTGTACAGCATACAACCGAGATTACTTACTGTTGCATGCCTAGGAGGCATTAGGGCCAGCCCCCATCCTAAGACGGCACCAGGTACAGACCGCAGGACATGGGTGACGTCTAATCCTCGTCGCTCCCCCCTGCCTAATTGAAGCGTATTCTATATTTTTTAACCAGGTCAACTAACGCCAGCATCGTCACTACAGAGCTTTCTTATCAAGTGGGATAGCTTGTTGTCGACTGGTACTAAAATATAGTGCGATCCGATGCATTTTATAGGGATCCGAAAGCGTGTGTTCGGACACCCCTACCCCATGTTTACCGTTTTCTCCCGCACTCGGCACTTCAAAAAGAAAAAAAGAAAAAAATGGGTTAACAAGATACAACTTAAACAAATTTGGGAGCCTAAAGTAGTAACATTTACCAGGAAGAATAAAAGCCTAAAAATTGCTTGAGGACCATAGTTTTTGGTACAATGTAACGCAGTGGTATACTGCTGTTCTTCTGATTGGATTATACAATTTTGCGTCGTTTCTGCAGATATACGTATAGCAAACAAGTTTAATATACACAAATACAACTATAAATTCTAATTGAAATTAAGCGGTTTGCAGGTGGATGACTGATTCCGAATTTGTAGGTATGGGCTCAGCAGCTTCTTCTTCAGTAGGTAGATCATCCGACTCCAGTTGTGGTTGATTAAGGCTCCGAACAAACTCAGAAAACGAAGGAAAATGTTCGGGTGAGAAGAAATCAGCTCCCATTCTCTGATATGTGAATAGGTTGATCACATTCTCTCCCAACAAATTCTTCTTTATCTGTTGAAAGCCTCCGCGAGCTCCCATAACTGATGAGTTTTGGCCAGCAATCTCAATCCCATGCTTTCTGCAAGCTGTTTTAATTTGTGAAAGTAATAACTCGGGACTTGAAAGGGAGTCCCGTGGCTGATGTTCGTCTGATAGGTCCATTCCAGGCAATATAATTTTGCACGAGTTCCTCGCAAACATCTCAGCAACCGCTTGGTAACCATCTCTAGATGATGTGTTGTAGAACCCAGAAGTCAGCTCAGAAGGGTGAGACTTTGTTTTATACCAAGAGTGCATTAGTGGAACTTTGCCACAAACTTCCACTTCAGTGTCACCGAAAGTTGACGAGGCAAGAGAGAGGAGGCGATCTCCGTGAGAAATGAGCTGGTTCGAGTACCAGGAAAGGAAGAAGTCACCATACGGAGACTCCCATGAACCGCCATTATCCTTGAAGAAGTTGTTTGCATTTGGTGACTGGTACATAGCTAGGAACATCATGAGGACCACCAAGACCCCACAGAGGGTTTCCGGTTGTTTCAGCATGTTGCTTAAGAATCCTTAGCATGTTTTCATCATAACACTGAAATTCTCCAACTCCAGGAGTTTTATTTTTGACCAGTCGGTGCTGAGAAGGATATCGAAGCTCACCATCTGGTCCTAAGCTCATTGAGATGCCCTGAAATTTAGCCAATACAGGAAATTGACAATTTAGTACGCATACAAAACATATGATGACTAATGAAACGTGGAGTTTTCAAGTATCATGACTCCTTACCGTGATTGTGGAACCAAGGAAAGGTGCGAATGAAGATTTAAAGCTTTCGCAGAAGTCTTCGTAAACTTGGATTGGAGTCTTTCCATTCAGAACAGGAAGTTCATCGACAGCAAGCGATAAACACTCTTTGTAGGGCTGCCCTGACCGGTCCTTAAAGAATAGACCAGGTTGAGACTCGCCAAGGCGAGATACCCACGCAGGGAGTGGCATCTTCGGTTGTTTCGACGCATGGAAGCAGAGCGAGACATGGAGCTCAAGGCCGGCTTTCTGAACCATCTCTGCAACGGCTAGGTAGCCTGACCACTCGTACTTCCCCATGGCTTCTTTCTCAACCGTTCCCCACCAGACCGGGAGCTCCACACCGTCCACCCCCAACAACTTCAGAGCCTTTAATCCGGCAGCAATCGCTCTAGCATGATTCACCGCGTTGCAGTCTGAAATTGTATCTAGAGGTAACCCAACAAATAATCTTACTCCATCATTCTGCAGAGTATAACACATCACAAAAAAATGAGTAAATTAAGTTACATAAATCAGGCCGGAAAATCAACAAATAGAACATTAAACTTCTAGGACTAGATAATAAGTTAAATTAATATTTTGGCCTTTTTATCCAAAATGGTTAGTGAGATTGGCATAACTCGTTATTTTAATCATTGAGATTTAAAATCAATAGAAGTGGTTCATAAGATGTTCACCGTCAATCATTTTGGCGATAGGTCTCCATTAATTGAGAATATTTTTGTCAAATTAACCTCTTCTTGAACTAGATTTTCTTTAATTTAATGGAATTTTTTTTGCACTAAAATGATCAAAATAATTGACGGTAGATAATATTAGGGACCAAAGTAAATAGTTACGACATTCTCATGATCATTTTGGCTAAAAAGTCTTTTGTTTTACTTGCTTCCAAACATGTTTTAACTGAAAGGCTTTTTAGTTAAAATGAATTTGCAAACATCCTCATTTTGGTTATTGAGATTTGAAATCAATAGACATAGTTTCTGATTTTGTTGACCCTTAATCATTTTGATTACTCCATGAAAAATCACTATTAAACGAGGATAAAAAGATAAAAATAATTGATGCTGAACAAAATCATAGACCACTTCTATAGGTTTCAAATCTTAAGGACTAAAGTGAGAAGTTATTCAAATTCCAGATACCATTTTAGCTGAAATTCTAGGCTTCAAACCAACTAAGAAACTACAAAACATTAAATTATCATGCTAAGTATTGTAGGCAAATTCAAAACTTATCATGTTTCTTGAAAACCCCTTTATAATTTCATAAACTTGAGGTCAATTCTAATTTATATAATAAAAATTTGAAATTCAATCACTATTTTCCCATTTTTCTCCAATTTCTCAGAAACCAAACAAAAATCTAAGTTATCTAACACAAAAAAAATGGAAGAAAAAACCACTTACCGGTTTGGATCTTTTGGCAGGACCCGAAATTTTATCGGATCGGACTGGTGAATCGGATTGTACGGCCCTCACAGTAAACTGAAGCCGGGCGCTTTTCCAGCTCTTGCTCTGACCAAAGCAGAGGTTGGTCTTCAAATTTCCATTCAACTTAGAAAACCCAAGCTCCGTTCGCGCCAACTCCGCCTTTCTGACCACCGCCTGAGAGCCGCGAAACACCGAAACCTCCATTTCCCAAACACCCGATTCCCCCAAAGACTCAAAACTTTTCACAACCCGAAATCAACAGACTTAAAAGATCAACAACAAAGAAAAGAAACAATTGAAATTTTGATTTTTGTGACTTTAATTTATGAAAATCCAGAAAGTTTGAGAGCTTCTGAATGCATACGAATGAGGCGCTGACGAGTTTTGACTAGTTAAGGCCCCGATGCTGAGCTTTATACACACAAAAGAGGACCTCGTACGCGTCTTTTATCTTTGGAAAAAAATAAAAAATAAAACGAAAGGCCAATAAGACTCTACCACGTGTCGATCGCACAGGTGGCTAAAGTAGTCCGGCGCTAAATTATTCGAAATTTTTTTTTTCAAAAGAAGGGATAGAATATGGTTTGAAATTTGTTTTTTAATATTTTTTTTCCTATAAATTTGATTGTTTATCCAAAATGGGATCAGGATCCTCTCCTAATCTAAGGATGAGGATCCTCATGATCAAGATATGTGGGTTGTTAGATGAAAATTCAACGGTTATAATTATTATAACTTTAAAGGGATCCCCTGTTTGTAGCCGTTGGATTTTCATCCAATGGTCCACATCCCTTGGTCATGAAGATCCTCATCCTTAGATTAGGAGAGGATCCTGGTCCTCCAAAATGATCACTTGTTATAACAGACAAGTGATCCCGAGGATCCGTAATCGTGATCGTTCGTCGTATATCGTGCGGTTAGTTTTTGTTAAGTACTATTTATATTTAAGTTTGGATTTTAAATTTAAAATGATTTATGACTGCACGATGTACGATGAAAGATTACGATCACGGGATCTTCGGGATTCCCAGGAAAAGGATCTGGCGAGGATCCTGTTCCTGTTACAACTTCTCACTTTGATCCTTGATATTTAAATTCAATATAACTGTCCCAGAATTTATCCACCATAAATCTTTTTTGGCCCGCCGTGAAATATCTTTGTTACATAAGGACCAAAATGATAAAAATAATACTTTCAATTTAATAAATAATGTGCCAAAATAATTTGACTGAGATTTTTACGAAATAAATATCTTTCAATTCTCATTTTTTAGTCATCTTATCATTATTTAACTGAGATTTTTACGAAATAAATAAAATGATTGATGATTAACAAATACATAGACCAATTATATTGATTTTAAATATCAAAAACTAAAATGATGAGTTATATTTCAATCAGGGCTATTTGGATAAGAAACCGAAAAATTTTCGTTATCCAAATGATATTTTGGTGATGTCTTGTTAGGTTATTAATCATGCACGACATGCTTATCTATTTATATTATTCCAAAAACAAAATTATTTTTTGAATCATTCAAACCTTAAAATAGCGAGAAGCTTGAGTACATGCGATGTATCTAGATACTGTTATTAAGAATTTGATGTTGTCAAAATCATTATATAAACAAATGTCAATAATGGTATATAAATTGGAATCCGGATTCTCGTCGGATCTTCTTTACGAGGATTTTGGATATCCGTGAATTATATATATTCATCGTATATCGTGCGGTTAGAAATTATTTTAAATATTTTTATTTAAAATTAAATACAAATAGTACCTGACAAAAACTGATCCGCACAATGTACGATAAACGGACACGATTTACGAATCTTCAGGATCCTCATCAAAAGGATCCAGAGAGGATCCTGCTGGTATAAACTGATATTATATATGCTATGTCTATGTCTGTGATACTTTGGTAGTACATAATGCAATGAAAAAAATGTAACCAATGCATGAGGCTAAAGAACGAGGATTAACATCACGAGCTGAAGAGAAAGCAAAGGTAAAGTTCAAGAACCGATTGCCTTTGGCAGTACAACCTGCCAAATAGTTTTGATTTTGTAAATATTCTTTCTCGTCGATTTTTTAGAGTTACCTGTTTCATTTCTCAGTTATTCACCATTTATTTCTCATACGACTGAGTAGTTCAAAACTGTGAAAGATAAATTGAATATAGAGCGTTAATTGTTAGTAGAAAAATTACAGAAAATTAGTTGACAACATTATATTTAACCAAGAATTCTAGAATTGTGAGTTGAATAGATTTGGGTGGCGTGGAAAGAACGGAGGGAGTAGTCATAGTCAAGTAGTCAGAGAGTGATAGAGGAGGAGGATATGAGTTGGGCGGTGGTTTTGGTTTGCATGGAATATCTGGCAGCCACCTCAGTCCAATTTCCACCAATCACAAAACCCACTTCTCTTCTCTTTTTATTTTTATTCAGAAAAGTAGTTCAATGATTTATATTTTGGCATATTGAAAGGAAGGAGGTTTGGATTGGTGTGGCAGCGCATGTGGTAAATAATTGAGGAAGCAAATATTGTTTGTGGTGCTGGTGACTCATGTCCAGGCCAGCCTGCTACCTAATATATTTTCATGGACAAACTTGAGTTCCGATTTTTGATGCCTCAGTTTTTGTTTTGTTTTCTCTTTTTCTTATGAGATTGATCAATCGCCAACCATACGGGTCCAGCGATGAGAAGGATAACACTTTTCTTATCACTTATACAATACTATATATGTATAAGTTTTTTTGAGATTTACTCATCCGTTCACCTGAGTTGTGCACATAAATTGGATATTTAGTGTATTGGCAGCGTATCCTCACCATAGATAGCTGGTGCATCATCATTACGCTGTCATCATCATACGCAAATCAAGCACATACCGAAGTGCATATGTAATATTTTTTGTAAGCTTTTTTTGCCGCTTGACGGTACATAAAATACTACTATATAAAAGTATATTCATACTATAACAATTGATCTCTCCCAGAGCCCACAACATTAGAGCCCTCAGATCTTGTGGCTGTGGATAAGAGGAGTTGGGATTGGACTAGGAATTAATAAATAATTAAGAGTAAAAAATTGATCTCTCCCAAAGCCCACAACATCAGAGCCCTCAGATCTTGTGGCTGTGCATAAGAGGAGTTGGGATTGGACTAGGAATTAATAAATAATTAAGAGTCAGCAGTGAGCAGTGAGCATCTAGATTCTGTTCGTTTACACAAATACAGTCAGCACAAAGCAATTAATGCTTTCAACTGGAGGAGGATTCTGTCATCTCTTATTCTCATTTTTTTTCTTCTTCTTTTCTCATATATTGTTTTTTATCTTATTATTTTTATAAAAAAAAAATCAATATAAAATATTAATGTGACTAAACCATAATGTTCAAATAGAAAGAGAGGAAAAGAAAAAGAGATTAGAAGCGGAGAAAATCAGTTTCCCTTTCAATTAGCAACTCAACTTGCAAAACTCTGACATGGCATCGTATCAGCCTCGGCCGCTTGTTCAGACGTGTTCAAAACGCTTAGGAGCTCTCTTGATTACCTTATATAACCAACTGCATTATTTAGGATGTCCAGTGTTGCCTAAAATTGAAGATTTATTCCGGAAAAACAAGGTCTAATCTTTATATTAAATCAATAAAAAATCAAGAAATAATTCATATAATTATATATATATATATCAAAATATGCACATGAGTAACCAATGTTAAATGAATATAACATAATGGATTAGAAAAACCTAAAAATATGGTCGAGTCATATGTGGGACATTATGTCCTTAAGACAAGTTTACGTCCCACTACGATGCTTATGATTGATTGGAGTTTGTCTCCCAAGATGGATAGCCAATTTTAGTAAATATAGATATAATCCGTAATCGGAATCAGATTCCTTATTCTCATTCTGATTACGAGTTAGTAAACGCGTTATTAATACTTTCAATTGGAAAATGATTCTCTTATCTCCTATTCTCATCCCTTTTCCTCCCTTTCTCTCATATATTATTTTTTATCTTATTGTCTCTATAAAAAATCAATATAAAATATTAATGTGATTAATCCGTAATCATTCAAATAGGAAGAAAGGAAAAAAAAAAAAAAATTTGGAGCAGAGAAAATCATCTTCCATTTCAATTAGCAACTCAACTTGCAAAACTCTGACATGGCATCGTATCAGCCTCAGCCACTTGTTCAGACGTGTTCAAAACGATTAGGAGCTCTCTTGATTACCTTATATAACCAACAGCATTATTTAGGATGTCGAGTGTTGCCTTAAATTGAAGATTTCTTCCGGAAAACAAGGTCTAATCTTTATATTAAATCAATAAACAGAAAATCAAGAAATAATTCATGTAATTATATATCAAAATATGCACATGAGTAACCAATGTTAAATGAACATAACATAATGAATTAGAAAAACCTAAAAATATAGTCAATGCATGTGTTGGACACTATGTCCTTAAGATAAGTTTACATTCTACTACGGTGCTTATGGTTGATCGGCACTTGTCTCCCAATCACAAGACTCCATTAACCACAATTGTGTTAAAAATTCTCATATGGACTCAATGAGACTCTAATATTTAGTACATGAATATGTGCATGATTAAAATTTATTTAATGACTATACGAGGCTTCCCTATTTATAGAATTTGAGATACCTCTTTGGAAAACATGTGATCATTCATGAAGAGTCAAAAGTTGCAATTTTTCATTTAAATAAACACATATTTTTGCCAAAAGACCTCACTTTTAATTCAATTAACAAATTTAATATATAATAATAATATTATTAAATGAGAATTGTTATTGGCACTTCAAACTTTCTATAATTAGAAAGAAAAATACACTCGTGAAGAATGTAGAATGAGATTTTTGGAGTGCTAATAACAGTTCCCTTAAATTTTCCAACACAAATCTCACGTGTGTTTATAAAGAGTTGGATTACTTCGTATATTGAAGAGTAGTTGCAAGGTTAAAACCTCCAACTTTTTACGAGATCTACGATTTTAAGATATACAAATTAAGAGAACTTTAACGAAAAGCTTCCGGTACTGTTCACTTTAACGAAAAACCACATTTTTACACTAAAAAGTTAATTATGGTACTATTAATTTTACCTTTTATTTTGTCCTTATTGTTAAAATTCAAAGTTTTCAAGTATTTTTCATTAGTTTTCTATAAATCCATCTACGCCATGAGCCCGTGACTTGCGACAATCTTTTTAGCATAAGAAACTTGGTCTTTAATTAATCTCGTGCGGTTTCTTGGAGCTATATCCAATTTAGATTGCAGATGAATAAATAA